GATACGAGTGTATTCGGTCATCAGAACCATAATGTAAACCATGTGAATATGTGAACAGCAAGTGGAGAAACATCGTCTGAATCGCACGGTTTGTTGGTGCCAACTCCACCAACCTGTGCAAGATCAGCCTGGGTAACCACGTATTTTATGTTAAACAAATTGCCAAGTTTGATTAGATGCGCCTGTTTGAAAAGCTCCCAATCAGATGCTGTGTAACGTTGCAGGTAAGCTAAAGAACACAACCCATGCATGGCACAGTCTCCGTTAGCTATCAAATTTAAGATATATAGTTTTGTTTATAGTAATATAGCTGGAATATAACCATGTCAGGAATATAATTTTTTAACATTAAAATGATTGACATTTGTATCTGATCGTCAAACAAGTACTTGTCCATACTGAGAGATATTTCTCTGGAACAGCATTCAAAATCAGCCATTTTGAATACATGTATATATATATAACATGATGTACAACGAATATATAATATTTAAATATAATAAGTCAAAGCATTTAAGAGATATGGCTCTAGAAGCCCACTCATGGCCGCCAGTCAGCCATTTTGAATCCAATCTGAAAAATAAAATGACGAGCATCAGGAACCCGTAATGTCTAATGTATGTACCAAGTTTGAACGAAATCCACCCATAAATGCCAGAAATGCTTGATGTTTGATGATTTTTTAGCACAAAAATGACCACCATTCGGCCATTTTGAATAGTATAGACAAACCAATATATCTGTTTATCTATGACATGATGTATAATGAATATATTGAAAATATTATCAGTCAAAACAAGTCGGAGATATGGCACGAGAACCACATTCATTAATACAAAATGGCCACCAGTCGGCCATTTTGAATCCGATCTGAAAAATAAATGATGTGCATCAGGAATCTGTAATGTCTAATGTATGTACCAAGTTTGAACAAAATCCATCCATAAATGCCAGATATTTGATGATTGTTTAGCACAAAAAAAGCCACCATTTGGCCATTTTGAATAGGATCATCAAATCAATATATCTGTCTATCTATGACATGATGTATAATGAATATTTAAAATTTGAACATAATCAGTGAAAGCAAGTAGAGATATGGCACGAGAACCACATTCATTAATACAAAATGGCTGCCAGTCGGCCATTTTGAATCTTATCCGAAAAACAAAATTATTTGCATCAAGGTCCCGAAATGTCTAATGTATATACTAAGTTTGAACAAAATCCATCTGTAAACAGCCGAGAAATGGTTGATTTTTAGCACAAAAATGGCCGCCATTTGGCCATCTTGAATCAGATCGTGAAACACATTGATGTGCATATGTATAATATCATGTATGATGTATGTGTGAAGTTTGATTGTGATTGGTCCAGGCATTTCTAAGATACAGGTCCGGACGCACGCACAGACGCACGCACGCACGCACGCACGAAGGTCAAAACAAAAGTCCTTGTTTTCGGACTGTGTCCAAACGGGAACTAAAAATGTTGGAAATGGCGACGTGTAGCACGGTTACATCAAAATTCTTCTAGTAACTGTGCATGTAGAGTATGTTAAGGTTGATTACTAAACTCAAAAATCCGGCACAGCATTTTTTCACCCACTTTGCAGGCTGTTTGGGGCATACTTCGTCAGCAAAGTGACAAATATTTATATCGACCATGTTTTAACAAAGTAATGAAACTGTCAACTCTGGAAAAAAAACTCTACTCGACTGATTATTGATGTTACACATTTTTCGTGATTTGCCACTCCCATGTTGCAACAAACTCATCTTTTTTCAGGCAATAATGCCTCAATTGCATGGTTTTGGTAATCGATGAGGCTTTTTATCTTGAAAAACTGCGGGATCTGTTCTGCTTAGGTCGCCAATTTAAAAAAACCTGCTCTACTGTATTTTGATACAATTGGCTGTTTATTTTGTCACATCTCCCTGTCTTGTCGTTAAGGGTGCCTATTAAATACACACTGTAGTGGTTCAATCTGCCAAGGGTTGGTTTGTAGGGCTGAGCCAAAACAAACGTTTCTTGGCTGGTGGAGAAACTGATGCCACATATTTAATGATATGTAAAACAGGTCTAGCAATTACACTGATTGGATAGCATGTCTACATTATACCCTGACATGAACAATAAATCCGAATGATTCAGAACAATATTATAGCAAGCTAAACTCAGTCTCCTGCTGACATTGCTTGATCCTAGTTGCAGACAATACACACTGTCCTATAGACCTTTAGTATGAGATGAACTTCTGTGTCTTAAGTTGCCATCAATCATACTAGTCAACTTATTTGAAATAATGGTTATAAATAATCATTACTTTTGGATGTTAACTCAATGATCAATTTTCACTGAAATGGCATGGTCATAAGTTCCACCAGTTTTACTGCAGTAGACAATAACTTTAACCCAAACACAGTCTTTACCTGGCACTTCAATATAATTAGAGCACTTCCCAGTGAACGGGAAATCACCAAACTACAATGCATTAAAAACTGAAGTACCTGGTACTTATTTTTGTCAACTTTGAGTTTATGTACCAACAAAAATTCTTGTAAATGTTTTAAAATTGATTCCTAAATACACACTCCCTCACTGGGGACAGGATACAATGCCACCTACCAGTGTATTTCAGAAGTTCAGATCGTAGTTTATTTCCTAGTTCAATAAGCCTCTGTCTTTCTTTTGCAAGCTGTGTTATATGTTTAGCAGCAACTTTTAGTTTCGCACGTAACTAAAACAAAAAGATAATCAATAAATTAAAATACCCGGTATATATATATATATATCATTAAAGTCAAATCATTTTTAAAGGTACATTTTCACACATATCTCAGTCACAGTCTAAAAGAACTACCATTATGAGAACTTACTACAGCAGTGCTTTCACTACCTCCTGTCAATTCTTCTTTTCCTGCGTTGTAAAGTTCATTTCTCAAATACTGTACTTCATTTTGTAATTGTTGAACCAGAGCATCCTGAAAAACAAAGTACTGGAGTTAGAAAATGATGAATAGATATCCTAGCTCTGTGTGTTGCCTGAATTAACCCACAAATGTTTGCCACTGGGAGGTAAACTTTTGTTAACTTGGTTTCCATTCCATTATATGTTCCATTGGCTTGGGGTGGCTTGGGGTGTTAAGGTTTAGCAGAATCCTGTAGCAATATAATATGAATAGCCCATATAAGACTTGTAAGTGCAATGTATGGGGCTACTGATGGGTCCAATTCAAGCAATCTCAGTACAGTGAGCACAATACCTATATTCAGAAAACTTGTGACAAAACATGTCATCCCTTATTAAAAACAAATTATGTGATATCAAAGTCAGAATTTTTGGCAAACTAAATGATTGCATGTCAGCGCAGATGAGTAATATTGTCACCACCTAGAAAGTCCAAGGATCGTTCATGCGCTGCCTCAAAACCAGAATACACTGGCGCAATCTGTATGCGACAGGAATATGTGGTCATGGGTTGGGCGGCTGTAAGCTGTGAGTGCTCTCTTCTCCCATGAGGCGAGTCCCCACGAGGCCTGAAGTAGACAATAAGTTGTGACCTGGCCTCTCGCCGAACGTATGCTCCCCCCGTTGCAGAGGTAAGCGTCAAACATGCTTGCCCCGCTGCTGTGGTGGATGACCGCCTGGGGAGGATGAGGAGCCATCACCTGGTCCTCTCTTCCTGGGGGCGCGCCGCTAGTCTTCCCTCCTGCGGAAGGGTATGAGTGCTTGCCTCCACGCTGACTCTGGCTAGCGGACGTTGCCTTAGGGCGTTGTGTTCTCTGCACTTGGGGTGCCTTCCGTTTACTCTTGGCAGTGGCCAACTGGCTAGCCGATTCAACCTGAACCATATGGCTCATGGCATTCCGAAGCTCCGAGACTGAACCCGCCATCTCCCCATCAAAGAGGGTGGAGCATGTCCAGTCTGCGTAACTGAGGCGGTGACGTACCCCCCGACTCAGTTCGCTGGCAAAAACACACGCGCCCAAAACCGCGTCTCATTGCACAGTAGTTGCCCTGGCCAGGAGAACCAGGTGACACTGGGGGGGGGTGTTGTTGCAAGTAGCTGTGCGTTGGCCCACCAGTAAATGTGTCGCCTGGTCTAGGAAGCTGGTGCGTTCTGCCTCCGAGGTCTCAGAGTCTTGGGCGCGCACAATAATGCGCTCCAGCAATTCTGCCCTCGAGGCGAGATGGATCGTCTTAGATTATGACGAGGATGCCCATGGAACGCAGCCATCTCCCTTTACCCGGTTCGCCAAACCGAAATTCGTGGTACTGGGGTCAGGGGAAGGAGCCCTTGGAACCGGTCGGGGGCATTTGGTCTCATCCCACACTTTGGGGTCTGATCCTGAAACCACACCGACAGGGTATCGTTTGGTCCAGCGGAAAGAGTTTTGCATAAGATTACTCGGGGCCTTAGATGTTATCTCCTCTGTGGCTGACCAACGTCTGCCCATCAACACCATCTGCGCCCCCTCCGCCATGCTCATTACTCAGCCGGACCAGGGGAGACGTCCCGACGGGGATGCTTTGGATCCCTGCGCCTGTGATCCCATAAGTGTTGAAGCAACAGTAAGTGGTTGCTTTTAGGATCGAGGGTGGGGGTATGTACATCTTATCAATAGAATCGATGATACTCCGCATCACCCCAACGGCGTAGTTCACCGAGTCATTACGGATGTATGACTCTGAGGTCACCCACTGTATCTGACGTGGACAAACTGCTTTCCTTCAAAAAATGTGAGCGAGGGCGTGTTCGACTGTGCGTCTCTGGGCAAAAATATTACTCGACGTCTCAGCACTTGAGGTACCGGTAGATGAGTGCGAGGACTTACCACTCATGCCAACACACAACTCAATTTAACCGATTTTTACTGGACGTGCGACCTTGCTGTGAAATACTAGCGACGCAGTCAGTCTCAGCGATTTTGCATGGCTCTGGAAAACATGGCCTCAGAACTCCAATGAATACACACGCCTTCAAGACCAAAACCCCGAACCCCACACGCAGTCACGGCAAAAATAGCACTTCGGATGAGCCTCTGGTGCTGTTATTACATCTATCCATTTCTAAATACATTGGTAAAACATAAAAATGAACACGACATGTATGAGGGAAGCGAAATACAGTTGGAAAAGGTGACACAAAGAAGCGGACGACGTGGTTAAACTGCGTTGCCGGGTTTTATTTTCTTTGTTGTAAAAATTTTTACACACAAAGGGCAAAACGACACAGGGGTAAAAATAATAAGAGAAACTTATCCTACCAGCCACAGTGTCAACTGCCGCATCAGCAGCAGCAACCCAAGCCAGAAACCCAGACAGAAAAAAACAGGCCTTCACAGGCAGAGCTGCTAGGGTTCATTCCTGTCGGTGCGGAGAAGAAGAAAGAGTGAAGATAGAGGTATCTAACCTCGGTCACTTGGTTCGTGGCAGAAGGGAAAATCTTGGAGTCATGGGGCTTCCCCTGACCTAGATTTATCTCTCAGTCATTGGCAGAATCGCTGATTAATGCAAACAGTTCAAAATAGTTATTTTGACTGACCGGAGTCTATGGTGGGTAATTGAACGTAGTGAATTACAAGGTAGCTAATAAACTAAATTTAGTGTTAAACTGATTGAACTTCAGCTTCTCGGCTGAGATAGCTCTGTTAGCAATGCACATTTCAATTAAATAACTGAAGATATCATCATGAAATGAACAAATCTGAGAGAGATCTACCTGTAGTAACAATAATCTAATTGTACTCACTACTTGTTTAATTGCTCAGTTGATTTAGGCTTTTCTCAAATTATTAATGGTGTTACAAGGCCTGTGTCCGGTAAATGTCTGGACCATGTTTATGTCAATTATAATGAAAATGTTAATTTGGCTCTTATTCATAATTTGGGTATTTCGGACCATAACCCTATATTCATGGTTTGCAAACTCTGGTCGTTCCCTCAATCAAACAACCATGTTTCTATTCGCTATAGAAATTTCAAAGTGTTCGTTGAGTCTCTATTTTTGGCTGACTTTCGGAACACGCCTCTATTTGAGACATGGCATTCTATTTTTAATGATTTGTGATTCGCATGCCCCATTTGTTTGTAGACGTGTGAACAAATTAAGACAGCCAGGATGGCTGAATACGGACATTCTACTTAAAATTAGAGAAAGATACAATCTTCGGCGGCTTGCACGTACTTTGATCGATGCTACTATCCTAAACTAATATAGAGCCAAATTTAATTTGGTAGTTAATTTAATCAAGGCCGCTAAGAAAAACCATTATATTCAACTTATCAAAATCAATAGCTCCAACAGTGCCGCCATATGGAAACCCCTTAACGATTTGATCAGTGGTGGTAAACCTAACTCTCTCAATGTTCATATTTCAGTTGGCAATAACCTCGAAAAAATCGTTAATAATTTTAATACACATTTCGCTTCTGTTGCGACCCAATGTTTCAGTGGGTGATTCATATTTTATGAATTTACAGAAATTTATTGAACTCAAATTGACCAATACTCGACCATTTGTTATACCGCTGGTCACATGCCAGTTCGTGAAGAAGCAACTGTTTTCACTATCTAGTTCTAAGACAGCTGGCCTTTACAATAAATCATCTAAACTGTTGGTGTATTTCTGCTCCGTTCAGTAGTGAAAGTATTGTTTATTCATTTACCCTAAGTATTTCATCAGGTATTTTTCCAGACATGTTTAAGCATGCCAAAGTTATTCCATTACACAAGGATGGATCCCATGACTTGTGTAATTTTCGTCCAATTTTGTTGCTCCCAATAATCTCAAAAATCTTTGAAAAACACGTGCATGATCACTTATACCATTATTTAAATAGTCATGATTTAATTTCTAAATCGCAGTCAGGTTTTTGGAAATCACATTCTTGCCATACAGCTATGATTAAGCTAAGTAATGCATTATTTAGCAATATGGATGATGGCTTATTGTGTGGTTTGCTTTTCTTTGATTTAAGCAAGGCGTTTGATATGGTAGATAAACAGGTATTATTGAAAAGCTCTCAATTAATGACATTTCACCAATCTCCCTTGTTTGGTTTAATTCTTATTTAACTGACAGAAAGCAAGTTGTGTATTTAATGGGTAAACAGTCAGATGCTGTCAATATTCGACATGGTGTACTACAGGGTTCAATTTTAGGACTATTATTATATCTTCTATTTATTAATGACCTACCATTATTTCTTGAAAATAGTTCCATTGATATGTATGCGAACGATCAAACTCTGTTATCGTCTGGACCAAGTATTACTGTAGTCACAAAGTGCATTAATGATGATGTTTGGCCAATTTTGCGTTAATTAATTGCAATTACGTGTCAATCAACACATCTATTAATCAAAATCTTTGCTTGTTGGATCCTGTCAAAGGCTAAATAATGTTGGTTAAGATTTTCTGGTTAACTTCAATGGTGAAATAATTAAAACAGTCAGTTTCGAAAAGTCGGTATTAGATAAAACTCTATCATGGGATCATGTTGATATGCTTTGTAAAAAGCTTAGCCAAAGAATTGGTGTTCTTATGAGAGTTCGCAGCTTCTTATCTATTTCCATCAGAAGAACATTGTATTTTTCATTTATTCAGTCGTTATTTGACTATTGCTGTATAGTATGAGGCAATACAATCAAATTTATGTCTGGTGTATAAGCTTCAGAAAAGGGCAGTTTGTCGTCGTTTGAACTGTTCAAAAAACATACTTTAGTATCTTGCCTGTCAATTACAAAATTTCATATTTTCTAGGTATCGTAATGTATATGGCAACCAATGGCTTGGCGCCTTTATATATAAGTGAAATGTTCAGTCCTATCTCCCAAACCCACAAGTATAGTACACGTTCCTCTCTTAAAAATAATTTACGCATTACTAAATGGAAAACATCCATGGGTTATAGGACGTTTCAGTGTAGAGGGGTAACCCTATGGAATAACTTACCATCCCATATCAGAAATTCAGCCTCATTAGGCATTTTTAATAAAACTTACAAAATATATCTTAGTGAAAAATTTGTTGTAAATGGCTCAAGCCTATAGTGTGTATATTGTGTTTTTTGTTCCTACAGAGAGCCCAATGAAAATTACTATATTGTATATTGGCCTACCCTCTTTAAATAAAGTGTTAAATAAATAAAAAAATGTATAATATCAAAGTAATTGGACAAGTGGTTTTCAACAAAAAGACGAAAATATAACTTTTTATCAAAAATTATAAAAAAATTTCATTAAAATTGGAGAATTTAAGATATCATCACAAAATGTACAAATCTGAGAAAGATCTACCTGTATATGTATAATATCAAAGCAATCAGACTAGTGGTTTACAACAAGAAGTCGAAAATATCACTTTTTACCAAAAATGACAAATTAAAATATTCATCAAAATTTGAGAATTTAAGATATCACGAAATGTACAAATCTGAGAGAGATCTACCTGTATAGGTACCTATATGTATAATATCAAAGCAATCAGACTAGTGGTTTACAACAAGAAGTCGAAAATATCACTTTTTACCAAAAATGACAAAAATATTCATCAAAATTTGAGAATTTAAGATATCATCACGAAATGTACAAATCTGAGAGAGATATACCTGTATAGGTACCTATATGTATAATATCAAAGCAATCGAACTAGTGGTTTTCAACAAGAAGTCGAAAATATCACTTTTTACCAAAAATGACAAAAATCATCATCAAAATTAGAGAATTGAAGATATCATCATGGAATGAACAAATCTGAGAGAGCTCTACCTGTAGAGGTCTGCCCAAGGTACATATACACCAAGTATCAAAGCAATAAGAATTGTAGTTTTCAAAAAGAAGTCTTAAAAATATAAAGTTGACATGGATGACAGACCATCACTCATATGATAAGCTCTGCATGACAAAGTTGACAGAGGAGATAACAAAAAGCAAAATAACTTGATAATACCCAGTAGGTCAACAATAAATCAACTCCAGAAAACAAATCATCTTTACACCATCAAATGTATACACCTCTCATTCAAAAGATTTTGTACATTTCGTTTTTTTTGGTCAGGAATTAACCATTTTATAATTACTGGTAGTTATTGAAATACACCGGATACTCTAAAACAAGAGTTGGCAGAGCCATCTCAATGCTGGGAAAATAAGAGTATTTAAAGGTGTGTTTTGGAGCAATGGATTGGTGAACAGGCAGAAAAGCAATTCCAAAGAAATGACTACTGTTCAACCTCGGAAGTTTAATTGTACTTAGTGTATGTTACTATGACAATCAACCAATTTGAGAAAAACAGTCAACAATGACTAAATGCATGGTCACAGCCAAATCGCTGTTTAATTGAAATAAAAAGATCGGAAGAGAACACAAGCGATGAAGTCGAACAACAGGCATTACGGCAGCTATGTTTGTTTCACCTCGATCAATACAGTAATACCCATGATGCACTATTCCCATAAGAGTGGGTATGTGGAAGTTCATAGCCAAGCGTACTGCGGTCAAGAACGAGGTAAGTTATTACGTGACGAGACCATCCTGATTTGCCGTCAATTTCCGGGGCTGAACACGAGATGAACAGTTGTGCATACTTAGATGACGACTCCACGCTATACGCAGCGTGAAAATGGCAATTTAAACATTGCTTGCAGATTTTCCCCGGGCAGATTTACATAATACTATAGTTCGATAACACGGACAGTCACATAAAATCCATGAAAAGGGAACTGCAAGTTGTATAATGCCAAAACAGTACCATGATTTCACAACTTTTGAAATACGTTCGCTTTTATCGATGTTCACTGTACAACAGTTTAATGTCTTCCCGGCGTTCACAAGAACGCAAAGCCTAAACAATTTTTATTATATAAATACACTTTGAAAAGAAACAAGATTCATAAACATAAATCTATTTGAATACATTCTCACTACAAATTACACAATACTTATTTTCTAATGGAGTTTCTTCACATCACAAACTATTGGAATCATGCACACGTGTGAGTACTACGGTGACACATTTTATAGCTATGCCCAAAATAGTCCATCATTTATTGCGCAACTGTGACCACACGACACCATTCTGTTAACATCCACACATTTTCATAAAATCTCCATGCACTTTTTGACCTTTCATAAGTAAAATACACTACAGTTTACTTAGTACATTCCTACATTCTTGCATACTAATGAGGGATTCAGACACATTCCAAGCTGAACAATTTTCTTGGACTAATAACAAGGCTGGTCAATCCTTTCCCAGCAAAAATGACACAGTCCCCGTTAAATTTTTGAAAGTTCTCTGTGCTCGTCATGTTAAAGCGGAGCATGTCCTTGAAACTTGAGTTCCAAGTGACGTATACAACAGATTGTTTATTTACATCAAAACGCTTGTTTCGTGTAGTAGTATTATGGCCAAAAATAAAAACAGCCATTATTCAGCCATCTTTGATCTGATTATGAAACACACTGATATGTATGATGTATGTGCCAAATACAAATGAAAATGGTACATAAATTGTGGAAATATAGTAGTAAGGCCAAAAAGTCAGATGGCTGTCAATCAGCCATCCTTGACCAGATTTTGAAACAAATTGTCATGGACATGCATCCTAACATGTATAAAGTACATGTATGTGTCAAATTTGAATGAAAACTGACAGAGCATGTCCAAGTTACTGCATAAAAAAACAAACAAGATGCCTGCCAGTCGGCCATCTTTGATCCAATTGCGAAATAAATCGTCATGGACATGTATCCTAACATGTATAATCTATGTACCAAATTTGAATGACAACTGACAAAGCATGTCCAAAATACAACATTTTCAAAAAACAAGATGGCTGCCAGTCGGTCATTTTGAATCGAATCGCTAAACCACTGCATGTGCATGTCCCACATAAAGTACTAGTCACATGCAAAAAATGAACGGAATCAGTCCAAGGGATTCTGAGATACGACTCCGGACGGACCCACGGACGGGGACTTCGTCCGAACGGGGACTAAAAAGTCTGCCAGCTAGAGTGAAATGTTAATTTCGCAAAGTGGGCAGGCAGTAATTTCAACCAATTTGGAATATCAGATTTGCTCTATCTTGAGGGTATCAGAAGAATATGCATGAATTAAGGCAGTACAGTAAACATACTGACCGATCTGCACAAGAGGTTGAGTATTTAGCTAAATTCTATTGTTTCAGTGTCAGATGCACATATATGCAATACATGAATCAGTTGTAGCTATATAAAGTATTTGTACTATAATTTAACTCAATCAGATCTTAATGGGTTTTTTCATCTTTCTTTATCATTTCTTTAATTGTTTTATTTTTGTTATTTTAGTCATATTTTTTCTTAATTCTATTTTTTTAATTTTAAAGATCTGAACAATCGTCATAGATCTTGTTAATGAGATCTCAAATAACCATATTTGAAATTTGAATTAAACAAGATATCCTATGGTAGTTGCTCAGATCTTTGGGCTTTCGCAATCAGACAATTACAAAACATAAAATAATTAAAAAAACAAAAACAATTGGATATGAATTTAATCAGATTGAATCTAACCTGACTTCCAGTTAAAATAGCAGGTTTCCTACTAGCAAGGTCCATCTTCAGAGAAGAAATCTGAAATTAATTGTAAAAGCATTTATAGTCTATAACTGTTCTTAGATGCAACTTCAAGTACGTGATGAAGATTCTATTCCACATGAGATGAGTGTATACGTCAAACATGTTTTGACCAATGACAGCATAATCCTCAGTGCAAACTTGTCAGGGTTCAACTGCATAGCTGGGTAAGCAGAAACTACTCAAAAAAGAGATCAACACTGACTGATTTTTTCATGGACTCGTTCATTTGCATTTCTATAAATATATGTCTGTATATGTTTGCAATTTTTATAAATTCTTTAATTTTTATATGCTGTTATCACTTTGTGTTTTGTTCTTAATGGGTCCCATGCAACCATGTATACCAGTACAATGTGCCCAATTTACATCTTTAGAAATGAATCATATCACATGACTCCTTTTACCCAATCACATATCAGCTTACTTCTTGTCCCAATGAAGTAGCTTCCAAGTTTCTTTCTAAGCCATTCTTGAAGTATTCATCTGCTTCTTTCCTGGTCTCTTTTAACTGTAACTTTAGCTCAGATACCTGTTGTTGCAGTGCACTTATCTCAGTAGTAGATCTCCTCTGCTGTGCATTGAGTTCATATTGTAACTGGTCAGCCTCAAGCTGCTTTTGTTTGGCCTGTAATCATTAAACAACACTAATAATCAACCAAAAGTTTTCCATTTAACTATATAACATGCAGCAATGCAAGAGTAAACTGTGATAACATAGTAGATTTTGGCGAATTAAATCATGACTGTTGTTGTGTATATTCATCATTCTGACTATGACTAGTCTAGAGAGTCAAGTGTTATTGGAACAATTTCAACGAGTCTAGAGAGTCAAGTGTTATAGGAATAATTTCAACCAGTCTAGCGAGTCAAGTGTTATTGGAACAATTTCAACCAGCCTAGAGAGTCACATGTTATTGGAACAAATTCAACGAGTCTAGAGAGTCACATGTTATTGGAACAATTTCAACCAGTCTAGAGAGTCGCATGTTATTGGAACAATTTCAACAAGTCTAGAGAGTCAAGTGTTACAGGAAC